CCTTATTTGGGCAAGCGTATCGATCCTTTATCGTTATTGGTTCTAACACCTGAAATCGCGACAGATCCATGTGAGGATCGAAAGTAGGGTGATCGAGATCGCCGAATTTCAGTCAGTCTGACGACAGAGAGCAAACAAGTAAGAGCAAAATGTATCAAACCGCATAATAATTATAACTTCCAGTCCATCACGCGATTTAGTGTAATCGGCGAAATCACGAAAACTGTGTGCTGTGTTAACGCACGTTGTGTAGAAAAACGTTCTGCGAACGATATAAAGTTCGTTAGACAATTTTATGTGAATAAAAAACTCTGACATTAATTTTATAAAAGTCTCCATTGTGATTCAAGAGTATGGTTCGTGTGTCGCTCGACCTTCCGTAAACCTATTCCAGTCGCACTTGCGATTATAAATCTTACATCATTAAGTGGCTTTCGTCAACATAAAAATTGGTCCTTCGAGCCGGGTTTACAGAGCGAACAATCGATTAAGGAGCGAACATTCGGATACGGAACGAATAAGTGTAAATCGTTTCGAACAATTCGTTACCGAAGTGAACGGGTAGTGATTTTCCGTTTATAAGTGCGGTAATTCGCGGATTAACGCGAGTGTTCTCTCTCTCTCTCTTTATATATTTAACACAGATTCATCATATCTTTTTCATTAGAAAACGAGATCTGTCTCACTCGCTCGCGCGGGAACAAGACTCTGTCTCTCTCCACCAATGTTGTTCTCGGGGACGCTTTCTCGCGCATGCGCGTTAAATATGGCCTTAAGATACGTGTCAAATTTATAAGAAAAAGGGTACTGTTAAGCCCTCTGCTCAGATAATGTTAAGAATAATCTAAAATGTTTTACAAATTAATGAATCACAAATAAATAATAAAAAATTAATAAAAGACGATTATAATTAGCTTAAAAAATTTCTGGCATTAAACATATTATTGTAAGTAATGTACGTACACAAATATGTACTACATACGCCGTCGCTGGATTTCTCTACCAATGCGCTGCGCATGCGCGAGAAAGCGTCCCCGAGAACAACACTGCTCTCCACCCCGATAAACTTCGGCAGTCACGACAATAAACTTTCCGTTTATAATAAGTGCGATAATTCGCGAATTGATGTGAGTGCTCTCTCTCTCTCTCTCTCTCTCTCTCTATTTAACACAAGTCAGATTCAAAAGTTTACCATTGTACAGTGGCCAGTAAGAGAACTAATTAAACAAATAGGGTTCAAATTCCGTTTTTCTGCAAATATCTCATTAAATATCGATTTTACAAAAAAATACAAGAGTAGAAAATTAAAGAATGGACAATTTTGCACAAGAAATGTTCTACAAGTTTTTTTCGTACGAGCAATATTTTTCACGTAAAAATTTATGCAAGATATTTAATTTTCGGTGAATTTACGGAGCACGCCGACAGACGTTACGTGGATTGAAGCGTCACACGCGCGCATAAAAAATGTTACAACTTTTGAACGAATTACCGTACAGAAATAAGCAAAAAAATTGTTGAAAAGCTGAAGATTTCAGTTTTTTAATGCAATTTGTTTCGTTATTCTACGATAATTTTTAAAATTCTCTTTTAAACAAAATGTTACACATCATTTTTGCCTTCTTTCATAAAATCAGCCACAAATAGCTTCCAAATTAATTAATTAATAATTTATTAATTAAAAAAAAACCAGCAGAATATTATAGTATATATCATACTTCATACTTTTATCCCACGAAAGGAAAAAAATTACTTTTTTTTTTTTTTTTAATCAAGCTATTGACATTTTCAGTGATTTCCAAAATTTTTTATGAAACATTAAACTTGAAATTGTCATAATTTCGCGACAAATTGTGCTAAAAAACGATAAACTTCGGCAGTCACGACAATAAACTTTCCGTTTATAATAAGTGCGATAATTCGCGAATTGATGTGAGTGCTCTCTCTCTCTCTCTCTCTCTCTCTCTCTCTCTCTCTCTCTCTGTATTTAACACAAGTCAGATTCATCGTATCTTTCTCATTAGAAGACGAGATCTGTCTCACTCACTCGCGCGGGAACAAGACTCTGTCTTTCTCTACCCCAACAAGTTGAAGCTTCGGCGGTCACGATGATAATAAGCTCGTGCGCGAGGGTGTCGATATTCCCCACCGCTCGCTGATTGCGCCCATTTTGTGCGCGTACGGTTCACGCGGATTAATGCGAGTGCTATCTTCTTCTAAAAAGAAGCTTTCTCTCTCACACATACGGAAACGGCTATTACACTTGACTTTAATTATAATCAGTGTTGTTTAAAGCCTGTCCAGTGAGAGATAAACTTAGTTAACTTTAATAATTGTGATCGGTGTTGATGTAAATGCACCTCCGACAATAAACGTAAAAAACAATAAAAACCGGTATTCAGGTGGATAAAGAACGTGACAGTTGTGAGTGAACGCGATATCACGCGAAATTTAAAAAGAGCCTGTACGTACAGACGGATCATACGAGATTCGCCATGGAATCTTCTGAGGAGTTGTTGGCAGCGCAGATCAGCACGCAGACGTTGATCTTCAGGATCCTGATGAACTTCAACAAGCTCGCCAAATCAAAAAGGATTACGACAGCTGTCCGAAGCCGAATCAACAGCCTCAAAGCATATTGGGAAGTCAGCCAGGCCTATCATGCAAAGCTGTGCACCATCGGGGACGAGGAGACCAGACGATGAGTACTTCACGGATACGTTTTTATTTATATGTTTTAATTAACGATTCTGTGGAAGAGATTATATGGATTTCTTGTCGGAGAGCCTTGAGCTTTGCAAGCGAGCAATGCATAATCGAGTCTTGACGAGTCTATCTTATCGCATGAATCGAAACATTCAATAATTCATTTACCGCGAATTGATATTCATAAATTTTTGGAAGACATAATATATAGAATTTCCGCGATATATTCGATTTATTGAGAATAGAACCGATTTATCTAACGTGCAGAAGTTGCATTATCTTAAGGCGAACTTGACAGGAGACGCAAGTTTAATTTTGGCTAATACTCAAGTAACCGACGCTAATTATAATACCGCGGGAATTATTAAGAAAACGTTACGATAACACACGTGCTATAGTGAATGCTCATTTACAATCGTTTATGGATATTCGCTGTGTGAATTCTCAGTCCGTGAGCAATTTAAAGAATTTGAGAGACCAACGATATTTATATGACCTTGTTAAATTTAAAGAGATCCATTAATCAATGACAAGAAGATTTAATGGTATTTATTACGGTTTCAAAATTTAATAAAAATACTCGTTGGGACTGCGAGCTCTCATTCGGAGACGATACTGAGATTCTGAATTTTGAGAAACTTGACGCTTTCCTTACTTCGAGAATTTGAGCGCTGGAAGTTATACATGCAATAGCCATGCAGTTAATAAATCAGAGATCAGAAAATCAAATAAATCCAATAATGTAAAATTATGCTTCAAGCTTCCTCGAACAACGGAAAGAATTTAGCATGCGAGGGTATTAAATTAAATCACTGTAAGACTTCTTAATCAATCCATCTCTCAGCGTGTTGAGTTATTAAAAGGTCATAAATGTTGTTTCAATTGTCTACGGCAAGGACATTTACCATGGTCGTATAAAAGTAAGAATGTTTGCACTCTTTGCAAGTTAAAACACCATTTGCTAATAATATATCGAGATTAATACATATATTGTACAATACATATACAATAATTAATGCATCGAGAAAAGATTGCGGCGGAGAATGAAACTCTCCAGTTGTCAGGCGGAGCTGACCAGACCGCTGGTAGCTCGACAAATTTAACCATACAAAGCAAGATCGGTTAAATGAAAGAGATGTTTCAAGTAATAAATTCTTGAATACAGTAATTAACAATACGTTATTTTCAATCGCTTCCGTTCTAATCAAGATCAGATCGCTCTATACGCGTTCGGCCATTATTTGATCAATAATACAGTAACTTTAGACAAAAATCGAGCAAAATCTTGGAAAAAATGTTAGTCAGCTGAATTTTGGCACAGACCTTTGTTTTTGCATAAGATTGAAGGGGAAAAAAGTTTACCATTGTACAGTGGCTAGTAAGAGAACTAATTAAACAAATAGGGTTCAAATTCCGTTTTTATCTCGTTAAATATCGATTTTACAAAAAAATGCAAGAGTAGAAAATTAAAGAATAGACAATTTTGCACAAGAAATGTTCTATAAGTTTTTTTCGTACGAGCGATATTTTTCACGTAAGAATTTATGCAAGATGTACGATTTTCGGTGAATTTACGAAGCGCGCCAACAGACGTTACGTGGATTGAAGCGTCACACGCGCGCATAAAAAATGTTACAACTTTTGAACGAATTACCGTACAGAAATAAGCAAAAAAATTGTTGAAAAGCTGAAGATTTCAGTTTTTTAATGCAATTTGTTTCGTTATTCTACGATAATTTTTAAAATTCTCTTTTAAACAAAATGTTACACATCATTTTTGCCTTCTTTCATAAAATCAGCCACAAATAGCTTCCAAATTAATTAATTAATAATTTATTAATTAAAAAAAAACCAGCAGAATATTATAGTATATATCATACTTCATACTTTTATCCCACGAAAGGAAAAAAATTACTTTTTTTTTTTTTTTTAATCAAGCTATTGACATTTTCAGTGATTTCCAAAATTTTTTATGAAACATTAAACTTGAAATTGTCATAATTTCGCGACAAATTGTGCTAAAAAATGTTTAAGAAAGCAATTGAAAGCTTGGAATTGTCTACTTTTAGGTCCCACATTGCAATATTCCATAATTTTTTGAATTTTCATTTATTTACGATATTCCAAGCTTTCAATTGCTTTTTTAAAAACTTTTCCAGCGTAATTTTTCGCAAAATTATGACAAATTCAAAATTAACGTTTCATGAAAATTTTTGAGAATTGCTGTAAATGTCAATAGCTTGATTACAAAGAAAACAAATTTTGTAATTTTTTTTCTTTTGTGGGGTCAAAGTATGAAGTATATACTGTAATATCCTGTAGGCGTTTTTTTTTTTTTAACAATTTGGAAGCTAATTGTGGCTGCTTTTATGAAAGAAGGCAAAAATGATATGTTACATTTTGTTTAAACCATCGTAGAATTTTAAAAATTATCGTAGAATAACGAAACAAATCGCATTAAAAAGCTGAAATCTTCAGCTTTTCAACAAATGAGATGAACCTCTTTTAGACGAACTGTTATGACATTGCGAAATAAACGTGAATATTACGTTAGTCATATGTTGTCAAATTTGGAGGCGGAATTAAATCTGCGAAAGAAAACTCGGCATATTGAACTTCAACAATTTCAAAATACCATTGTGTGTAACTTGAATATTGGTGCGAATTGTGAGATATCCACCGCCGAGCGTAACGATGAGGTGACCGGGTAAGTCAGTATAATAAAGTTCAGTAATTTACATGAAAATATATCATTTCTTTGCGTTTTTAAAATTATAAATAACTAATTTTCGTTTGCAGGTACTTCTATATGAAATAATATGAGCACAACTCTGATGACCAATGATAAAGAAGAGGTATGCATTATCAATCATGCATTTATCCCCTAAAATGTCTTGTATAAATCATTTAAGTGCACAATATATATAATAATATATATAATAATATATATAATAATATATAATAATTTAATTTATTAATATTTTATAAATCAATAAAATTCTTCTAACGAAATACCTAATAAATACAACTGCATCAATAATAATAAAATTTTCTTAACAAAATATCAAGAGACACGGTATTAGTGTCTCACGCCAAGTTCACGCGAAGCCGCGAGGCACTCCGGGTATCTATACGCGAGTCGGACAGTTGCAAGTACCTTAGATTATCGGACCTCAATAACGGCTGAACCGATCGTATTTTTAATCAGCTTAATTAATAGCTTGGATTTGAATTATATAATGAAAGTGTTTTAATCTTTTTTCTACATGTATCGTGAACGGAGGTAATATAATGCAAAGTCGAAATGTATAAAATTTTTATTTATTAAGATACGTCTCCGTTGTCATCGCCGCCCAAGTCCCTAATGCGCATGCACGAAAATTGTACGGTTGGAGTATTCGCCATAAGATTGCGCTAGCGATGCTCTGAAATTTGACAAGTAAATGAATTTGACAAGTAAATGAAAAGTAAAAAAGGGTTAACGGTAGTGTTTCGCGCTAAGTCACGCGCAACCAAATTTACGCACATTGTTGACAACGCTAAAATTTTAACGGTTTCATCAGCAAAAATATATCTACTTCAATTATGAACAATGATCACGGCAATGACAAATATGTCGAAGAAATTAGTTCCTCAATTATTGTAAATGTTTTGCCGCTGTCAGTAATAGATCCCAGCAAACACAATTTTATAATTATATTATATAACAGTTACATAACTCATTAATATAAAAAAATTCATTAATATAGCCTTTTTTTAAGCCCTCGAAACGATAATCCCTCCCTGAATGGCTTTCAATTGGACACAGTAACTTTTGATCATAATATAATTAGACACATTACATTTAGACACAGTTATTATTGGACATAATAACAATTCGACAAAACTAAATGAAAAAAAATGTTCATTTACAAGATTTTCGCAACTTTTTGATTATCGATTTGTCTCGTTTCATAGATAATGATTTGCCATAAATCATTATTGTATTCATCATAAAAGAATTTTTTCATTTTATTAGATGAAAAATTTTGGAAATGAAACGTTACTTCCAAATTGTTTGTTGCAGTTATTTGTTGCTTTCTCGGTATTAGCGTTATTTTTAATTTTGCTTCCCATTTATTTTTTAATATTGTTTTTAGTTCTGGGAATACCGAGAATCATACACTATTGTGGCATGGTGTGCACTGCTCATTAATTTTGTTGTATAATTTATATCTGAAAGCACATGACTATGTTATAATCACAGATTTTTATCACACTGTATGGTAGTATCCCTGATAGCAAAATGTCAGTAGATGCCGGCAGACTGACAGCATATTCGGTCAGAGAATTACAGCTGATTGGCATCAATTGTACCACCATTATGCTTGTATTCTGCCGGCAGAACTTGCCGACATTATTTGACAGCGAAAACCGAGCAGATCTTGCCGAGGGCAGTCTGACGATAGATTGGCGACAGAAAACGAGTAGATCCTGCCGAACAGAATCTGACGGCTCTGCTCGTTTTCTGCCATTAATCTGCCGTCAGACTGCTAAGCAGAATATGTTCGGTTTCTGTCGTCAATCTGCTGTCAGACTGCGCTCAGACGCGTCAGACCAACATTTACTAAATAGACATCAATCGTCCAATAAAATTTTTATGTCCCTATTACATGTTTGCCTTTAAAAATACGATAAAATTTCTTAGACAATCTAAACGTAACATAATATTTTCAGACAGTATACACTTTTAAAATGATTAGAATCAAGTAAACGCATTTACTGCGTAAATTTATATATACATTTATAAAATCGTTAAAATAGTGCGGGATCTGATGAACCCCACTTGTCCTCATTTTACGAAAATAACTTGTCCTCATTTTACGAAAATAACTTGCCCGGATAAAAGTTAACAAAAATAATAACTTAATAACTTACTTCGTCATTTCATAACATTTTATTATTTCCTTTATTATGACATGATAAATTAGATGTCCATCTATTATACAGGCACATTTTATAATGCCATTGCAACCTTTATTTTTTAAAACCTTGGCTAAGTGACCGCTGAGGCCGCGAGCCGTTGGTATATATTTGTATATAGCAAATGAAAGCAAATAAAATAACAATAATAATAATAAAATATAAGGTAAGGACTTCTAAGGAGGTCAAGGTCATTGACCTTTCCTGTGGCTCGGTTAATAACAAAAAGTTATGAAGGAATACATTTTTATATATTCTTGATTAAACATACTAATTTTATGCGTGCAATATTGATACCGAGTACATTGTTTGATTGGTATGTAAGAAGAGGCGGTCAAAAATTTTACTTTTAAATCAGAAAAATAGGTTTGGTTAAATCGGAAATAGTAAGTCATTGAACAAGTCAATCTACAAGTCGATTAGTTAGTTCGTTCTCAGTGCAGTTATTAAAAGTCATTTACATCGCGAACTGTGACCAGTGTCTTGTTCAACGGCATCTCTCTCGACCACGAACGACAATCTCCGAGTTAAACTGCCCGCCCGTCTTCTACTTAAAAAGAGTAAGTCGCTACCAACCAATCTTTCTTTACGCGAATTCCAACTAGGAATTATCACTTATAATTTTTTATAGTGAAAAAGATCACCTTGCGTATTTCGATCGAGCGACTTCATTCGCGAGCCAAGTACATACATCGAGTTTATCGCAGGACTCGGAGGGCGTTGGCGCAAGCTGACTCAAAAACGATTAGTATAGCTAACCAATATATCGCTAGAATCAACCATAATTTAATCAAAGCGAATAGAATTGTTAGAATAATTAATAGAATTAACAATCACGATTACGATTTTGCACACACCTACAGACATTCTAGCGACCTCATTACTTCTGTTCCCAGTACAAAGATCGCACTAGGTCCCATCCCGTGTAAAAGGGATTAAATTCCCTGACCAAAAAGGGACCACCGAGCGAACATCTGAATAAACAGCGCAATAGCGACCCAAACGGTCGTTTACCTGGTTTTCAAACCTAAGAGTTCGTTCGACCCGATTCTTACGCCGCAAGGCGTCTGATTTCGGGATAATTAAGATAGTTGTTGCGCCCTTCCATCGACTCATCCTTTTTCGAGTCTGGACGTAACACCCTCAAAAAAAAATTATAAAAAAGGGAACTTGTAAGACTCAAGCACTTATTATTCAGTTTTCACGCGGTATTGTCAATCGGTCTAATGTTCTGACATCTTAACTCGTGAGTGAAGTCATTTCTGCAATCAGTGTCCTCATTTGGCGTCACTTCTGAATCAACTCACAGCTGCGAAACCAACCATCACAACATATTACTCAACAAGAGAACCTAGAAGCATCACAGAAAAATTGTCAACCTCTCTCGCCTTTTGAGTCACCAGCAAAAAGTAGGTTACAACAATTTAATCTTCTTTGAGAGGTCACCACATCTCTGATAAGAGATTACGGACTGTGAGGAATCTTCTTTTAATATTCCTTAACTGCTCGAGCATATTTTCTTCGTTTTCATTGTGTAATCGTCTTAGCTGCTCATTTAACAATCTTTGATAACCTCTAAATGGATCCATTGTCTACTAAAAACTGTTAAAACTGTAAAACTGTGGGGATCACGTTCAGTTATACACGTATTTTTATTTTTTTGTTATACACTTAAATTTTCTAATCGAAACAGAAATCCTATTACATTATTATTTTTGCACAGGTTCCATAGTGGAAAATCATTCCCAAACAATTAAATTCTCTAACCAGGCGTATAAATCGGGTCCATCGCAAGACTTGGAGGATGTTGGCTAGAGCTCCCGCGGATCGTAACTTGCGTATTAATAATAAAATTAATAGATATAATACTAGAAATTTGTGTCCGAATATTCGTTGGCAAAAGAAAATTATTTTTGCACAGGTTTCATAGTGGAAAATCATCTCGGCCAAACAATTAAATTCACGAACCAGGCGTATAAATCGGGTTCAGGACTTGGAAGGTGTTGGCTCGGACTTCGCGGATTGCAACTTGCGTATCAATAATAGAATTAATAGATATAATACTAGAATCTATAATATAATCAATAGATATATTAATAGAACTAATAATAGAATCAATAAAATCAATAAAATCAATAGATATATTAATAGAATTAATACACATACACACACACGATTTCAAGTCCACCATTTCTCTTTCATCTCTCCATTTTCCTCCTAGTTATTCTCCCATATATTCCCTTGAACACTTTTTTCCTTCCCCTAAATTACATCAATTTTCTCCGAAATTATTTTCTTCCTTATCCACTATCGTCCTCGATGAATTATCCCCCTTTCCCTTCAACCTTCTGAATGTGATGATTTTCAAAAAGCGATCCAAAATTTCGTAAACGAACTTAATCTCAAAGCAGAATCAAAGAATATCAAAATTAACCCCACTATTCCCTCATTCAATGATCCTTTTATTCCCTCCTACTTTTATTCATAACTTAATATTATTTTTATTTATTTATATATATCCTTACATTGTAATAACCAGTCAGAATCTAAATTTAACGTAAAATCATTCCCTTGCATTTTGACTGATGTCCTCCGTATTAATGTAACACCCGCGAATTAACACACACACACACACACACACACACTCACATATACTCAGAGAAAAACCAATATTATATTTTATTTTATTTTTTATATAATCATGTATACCTACCATTCATTTCAAAATGAATAAATTTATATTTGTTAATTAAAGGTCAAAATAACTCATTATTAACCCCCACTCATTCCTTTAGACAAAAATCGCATTTGGTCCCATCCCGCGTAAAAGAGATTAAATTCTCTGACCAAAAAGGGACCGCCGAGCGAACTTCCGAAAAACAGTGTAATAGCG